TACTGGATATTTTATTAGAGGTACACAGCTACTGAGAACAACTCAAAATTGAGCCGGATTACACTCAAAATCGTGAAATGTGGGGATACTCACTGAGCAAATCAATTTTTCCTCGAGATTCCTCTAAAATCTGCTTAAATATGAGATAGCATAGCATAAACCAGGTTGGACAATGTCGTAGGTGGTACGTGCTCCAAACTGTTGTCCGACACTTACTTAAGAGAGATGCAGAGAACTCTACGACCCCTCATAAGTGTCACGGGAAGGGTGTTAGTAGGGAGGGTAAGCCATAGGATACGCCCAGCAGGCAATGCAATCGTTATATCAAGTATTTAATAAATAGAAGCTGTAAGTAGTTTATCTGTCCGTTGTTGCTGCCCATTACCTAAGCATATTATTCAAAACAGTCTTCAGATTTTGGAATTAAGAAACGATATCAGCTCGATCCTGTTGCTCCTTTGAGCCTGAAAATGTTTGTTGATCCTAAACATATGCACAATTCATTCTGATCGATAGGTAAGAGGTTATTAATAGTATGTGGAATCGTACATTAGAATGAAGATTCGCCCTTGGCCTAACTTCCACTGTCTAGCAGTGGAACCGCAGCTACAATAGCCCATTTCAAGAACGCAAGCATTCCGAAGCTATTTTTTTCACACATGAGGGCCCATGCATTAATTATGGCACTCTAAATCGAGCAAAAAATTACCCCCTCCCCCTATCGTGACGTTTTTCCTATACCTAATGCATTGCTTGTCACAAAATCTTAGACCCCCCTCTCCCCTTAGAGCGTGACATAATATATGCATCAACCCTGATAAGCCCCGCTCCAATACATTATCGATGCAAATATATACCATTGATAATGTACTGAAACTTTCAATCAAGCAGTAGTGCAATACTTGATTGACGCGTATTTAGTAAGTTTTGAAATGATCGTTTTTAATTAGCTGGATATTTCTTATCGAGGACAGAGGAACGAAAAGGTAAATAAACTTAACTGATCGTAACTACGCGTAGGTTAGAACAGTCGGTACCACATGCAAGGGATAAGAATTTGAAAATTTTCACTTAATGCACTTTTCAACATCACTTCTGTACTTTCAAATTAACCCTTTTTAAAATGAAATTGTAAATTTATAACATTTTCACCAGAACGAAAACGACGCAGTAAAACAAAAATACGTAATTTTTGCAACGCGGCCTACTTTGATCTCCTAAAATCTGCTTGAATGTGAGATCGGTCTAAAACACATTTCAAAGTTCAAAATTTCAAATATTTTTGCTAGTTTTGAAACTTGAATACTTGAAAAAATCCAAGCATCAGAATTTCCATTTTTGTTCCCCAAATCTTGAATCTCGAATTTGTTTTATAGAAACATGGAATTTCCATATAATGACGCAAATACTCTTGAAAATCTTCTACAGAACACTCTGAATTCACTCTACAATTCTCTTCATATTATTAATAATGTTTGCAGTGTAACATCTAGTAATTCCCCGATAAATTGTCCTGAAAAAAATCTCCCAGCATTCACTCCCAGTATTCTCCCGATGTTCCCATGGAGTTACCATAGGAATTCATTTTTAGTTCTGCTCACCATTCCCATTCATTCCTTGAAATACTCCTCGTAATTTCCTTGGAACTCTCTTTTGAATTTTCTTAAAATTATCTCCAGAATATCTTTGGAATACTCCTCGTAATTCCTTTGAAAATTTCCCCGACATTTCTTGGGATCTTTTTAACCGTTGGAATATTCCTTAGAATTGCCTTGAAATTTTCCTTACACAACGGAATTATTTTCAGAATTTCCTTTGCATTTGTTCTAAGTATTCATTTGAAGTTCTCCTCATCAAAATTTAAGTCAGAACTCCCTTGGGATTGCTGTGAAGTTCTTCTGGAATAAGTATCAGATTTAATGTTAACCTTCGTTTTAGCATACTACCTAAGTATTTTCTGAAAATTTCCGTGGAATTATCCTCCGGATTATTCTTCTCCAAGAAACTTCTTGAAATAATCCTTAGAATTCTCTTCCAAAATTTTCTAAAAAATCCTTAATAATTAACCTCGGCAATTCCTATGAGTTTTCATTAAAGTTTCCTTTGAATCCTATTCTTGTCTTAACAATGTCTTGGTAAGAGATTTTGCAAATTCCTTGAGTAATGAAGAAATTCCCTGAAAAGTCCAGATTTTTCCAGGAAAAATTAAATTTCCTGAATTACAGGTAGAAAACAATATGTTTTGTCCAAACATAAACTATTGCTTTAACTAGTCTCAAAAGAGAATTTTCAAATAATTGCGTCGATACTAGCTTAAATAGCTGAATTTGTTATGTAGATTATTATTTGTAATTAGTAAGCTAAAAATAATAAATTTTCCAGAAAAATCGAGATCATCCAATTAATAATTAAAATTAGTAATTATAAGATATAATAGTAGAATTAGACTCAAGCAACCACTTATACAAATAAGTTGCCCATCCCGCCTTAAACAGGCTTCATCAGAACCTACAAAGACTGATATAGCCGTTGCTCAGCTATGTATATTTCAATAACGCGAAATAGATTGCCAATGGTTACTCTGGGTAGTGATCAAAGTTCTCAAATGACAATGTCGACTCTACTGGAACTTTGCATGAAATTCAAATTTGTATGATGATCCAGTTTTATTTCAGTTTTGTGGGTGCATTTTGCCAGTTTTTATTGAAAAACTATTGGAAACCCTGGGTTTAAGAGTACGTTTTACTCACTCAGTGAGTAACCCCACTTTTTATGATTTAGAGGGAAATCCGATTTAATTTTTAGTTGCCCAAGCCGACACAATAAGCTTAGTCTAAATGATGATTGGGTTATGACCAAGGGGTGGTCACTCTACACACTCATTTTGCGCCAACTTTTTTTTCTCAGTGTGCCGCAGCTGTGCCGAGAGTGCTAGACATCGGACTGACATTGTTTGCTTGTGACTAATGGCATGTTTGGCATCCCGGTTTATTTGACAGTTCAAATGTTTTGTTTTGAAGCAACAACACAACTAGCAGTGGAATCCGAACCAAGAGACGATGATCCAGAGGCACTCTAGTAGGACATGCTCATACCGGACAAACTGGCCCGACCGGAAGATGGCGATTAAGTTCCTCAGTCCGCTCAACAAAGGCAACATCGTAACGCATGCTGATGGCATTCAAAATTTACAGCCGCTGCAACAAGCTTCTACTGATATTTCAATCGCTGGAACGGGCTCACACTATCTTTTCGCACCAGCCGTCGTTGCATTTTGGAAAGCAAGATTGTTGGTATGAAATTGACGAAAGCGTGATGATGGTCATCAATCAGGCACGGGAGAAGCTCTACTGTGGATCTAAATCGGCTGCGGAAACGATTGCTACTTGTCAACGGACTGCGAAAACGTAGAAGCAAGTCCTGGACCAATGTGACGAAGGTGTTCCTTTTGCTAAGGCTAGCTGCTTCAGCGGTGTCAGCAGGTTGTCTTCGCCAATGTTGCTACTCTCACCATCCAGTCGTCGACGTTTTAAGCGTCCGTCACTACCAGTACCACCGGAACGGCCATGTGCACGTTGGAGCAACCGTCATCGAAAGCCACCATCTCGCAGTTACAGCAAAATAAAAGCAAACTTATACTAGCCTAGATGATTTCGGCTGTTCTCCCCGTGGTGGTTTGTTTGTTGAAACCCGAGAGGATAAATACCGATATCGGGAGTACACCGGGAAGAATTTGCCAGGAGCGTGAATGAAGCTTTCTACACAGATGAACGATGAAATGGCGGGTGTATTTAGGCAAAATAACTGCTCGGCTCCACGACGAACAGCTCCGATCATCCTGGTCCTGGTAGATCGAATGCTATTCTCTCATTTTCAACGCAGTATCGATTGCCCTGATTTTGATGTACTTATTAACTGCTACTGATAGTGTACTGCTTCGGACAGGCATTAGGATGTGCGGTTCTGGGGAATCCAACTTGGTTTTGTGGAATCTGTGGCTGTTTTTGGCCGAAAATTCGCGGTTGCGGTTATACGAATCCAAGAATTGTGTAAACAAAAATAATTTAACGCATGCACTGGGCAGGCGCAGAGATAGCACAGTCTTGCTAGTAACTTCAGAGCTAATGACAATTTCCAACCATGGGTGCCAAACAATGTCAATGAGTGTGCCCTACTGTGTTTTTGGCACACTGTGCAACGTGACTTTTCGACCACATTTCTTATTTTCTGTGCTGTTGTTGTGCATCTAGTAGCATTTATTAGCTACTATATTCATAACTATTGATTCAAATACAAAGTAAATCTTGGCTTCTTTCTATTGGTGCACATAACATTACCATATTATGAAGTTTGTTATAAGTTTTAAACGAAAAAAGTAGTCATGGGGCTATAAATATAAGTAGGTTCGTCGGTATTGATGCTGTTTCTTCTTGAAACATACTAGAAACATAAGTTCAGACTGAGTGTTAAAGGCAATTTTATTTTAAAAAAATCAACGAAATTGATGGTACTTAATGAATGTAAAGTTGGACGTAGCTTAATTTGGTTTCTAAAAAAAAATAGAAATATGGCAGTAACTATAATAAGTCCTTAAAAGTACAAGGGTGCGGAATAATTTTGTTTAAAGAACGTTCATCATTACTATTTAGAAAACAAAAATGAACAACGAAGTAGTCTCAATAAAGGCGACTTTACCTTATGTAGCAATAGAAAACACTGTTTAAGTAGCTTAAAAATGTTAAACCATAAATTGTTTACAATAAATTACGCTTGAACGAATGCTGATCAACGGAAATCATTTAAAATTGCATGCCTCCTTGGTTGCGGTACGGTGGAATTAAACCAGTAACAACTCCATGTAATTAGAAACAAAAACAAAATACTAACATTATCGGTAGCAAACTTCTTCGACGAAGAAAGCTCCTCCCTTTCCCCGCTATCCGCAAAAAAACAAAAAACCCGTCAATCGTGTGATCACATCCAACAAAATCGCTTTTCAGCTTGATCCCACTGCCCAACATTGGCGGTGGTGGCGGCGGCGGCGGTGTCATCGGTGGAGGATCCCAGGATGTCCGGGCAACGGGAATGCGCAATACATCCTCCACGCTCGGTGCCAACAATAGCAGCGTTGCCAATAACAACCAGAACACCGGAAGCATCGGTGGCATCGGTCGGCCGATTACGCGGGTCGACATCCAGCCGGTGATCAATCGGGCGGATTTGAAAAGTTCCATCTTTCATCCGAACTTTCACCGGCAGTTTGTGACAAACATCAGCACCGAGTCGACGACGGTCGCACCGGTCAATGAGGAGAACAATAGGTTTGCACCGAAGTCACGCGGGAATTGAGGAAATTAATTAGGATTGATGATTTTCTGTTTGTTTTAGCGATAGCTATGAGGATTCGCTGAAGGACTCACTGACGTCCAATACGAGTCTATGACGAGAGGGGAACGCTCCCCTTAGCCGGGAGAGCTACTACCGTTGCCACCCTCGCCACAGCCAGCTGTACAGAATAGCCGATAGGACAAACCAAAAAAATTAAACAAACTACTGTTGAGACCCACAAGCAAAAGCCAATATTTTCTAGTATTATTTGTTGATTAGTACTTAAGACGTCGGCGGTGTTGAGTGTGAGGACAGAGTGAGAGGGAAACGAGTGCTTTCGAAGTGCAATCGAAGTAACCAGTGACAAAGATTTACTGTAAATAAAATCGTATTTTAATATGAAAATTTTTATACATCAAATTACCCATATTGCATATAATCGCTATTTGTATGAAGAGAACTCCTTTGCTCCCTGTTCGTTGAAATTCGATCCCGGGGCTACATCTTTCATGTGCTTGTACCATTCATAAACATTATGATAAGGCTTCAGATCGAAACCGAGCGAGTTCATCGTAGCAACCGTCGCCAGAATGCTCAAATCCACAACCGTCATGGACTCACCCGTTACGTAGGGTTGTCCTTCCAGGAACAAATCCAGCATTTTAACAGCATCCTCCAACGCTTCCAGTTTCTTGTCATCCCCTTCTAAACCACCGAATACCTGCTCGTGATAATACTCCGTGAATCTGTGATAGAGAATGCATGCATCAAAGAATAGTCTTTCGTTGACTTTGGCTCGCTTTGCGGGATCCTTCGGGTACAAACTATGATCCTTCCCGTACTGATCGACCAGATAGATTTGAATTGCTCTGCTCTCCCACAGGATGAGATCCTTATCCTTCAACGTCGGAATGCTATGCTGTGGGCTGATTCGACCGTAGTCCGGTCTCTGATGTTTCCCATTTATCAACTGTATCTCCTTCAGCTTCAGCGGGACGCCAAGAGCCATGGCCGTCATCTGTACTGCCCGGCAGGGCGCTGATCCTGGTGAGTAGTACAGCTCCATGTTCCAAACCTTCGACTGCTCTGCTATTTTGATTTAAACTTTCAAATCAACCAACGCAATAAGAACCAGTTTTCAACTGCACCGTCTGACTGTCTGTTCGACCGTTTCCAAGCAACTGAACCGAAGAACACACATGCGCCAGTGGCTCCTTCGATGCGTTGCGTTGGGTAGAAAAGAAGGCCCTGCTTCTTTGCATTCTTCGCTATAAGGCTTGCTCCGTCCACCCGCCCTGCCCTGCTCTTCTACCTGCTGATGCCACTTTCCAGTCAGTGTCTGACCCACTCTCTGGAGCCAGTATTGAATATCAAGAATCGTGTGAAATGTGTAATGAAATAGAGAGAGAGAGAGAGAGAGGAGAATGGAATGGGCAACCAAATATCAATTTTCAAACACGTAGGACATCGGTTATCGCGTTTAGCTTTTTTTTTATGCTCTGTGTTCTTCTGCGGCTATGTAGGGTGAGGGCTCCAATTGTACAGTAGGGTTTTCAACATGTTCATAAATAGTTACGAAATTTGAATCGCGCACTACTGTTGTACATTCTTGAGCCTCACCATAGTTGAGGTGCATCTACCCTAAGTAGTGACGCGGTTGTCGCGAAAAAAAAACAATCGCACGCGCCTCTAATTTGGAGACTTTGTGTCTGACAATTGTATCAGTATCGCTGGTTTGGCATTAAGATAATAATTAGGAAGTGTCGCACCGCATTGTTTTGATCGTGGATAATCAACTCCCTTCTCGTACCAGCTTGTCCTATATCTAATACATGACGGGTCACTAGTGTTGTATGATACTCTCCTTTTTTCCTAAATTGCTACGTAATTTGTGAATGGCCTCTTGTGGCTGACTAGATCTGTTGATGCAATAACAAAATATCAAATCAACTTTAAGGCATTTATTAACTATATCTATATATGAACGTATGTCAAATGTAGAGTCATTCTCCTTTTATCCGTACCATTCTTTGAAATAGGGACGTATCCATTGTATATACACATACAGCTCATCTATAGAAATGCTGTGTCATATGAAAAGCCGTTTACTCAAGTGAGGATATTTTGAAGTACCGTCAGTGGAGGTTACTTTGCATCAAGGGGACGACTCTATCTACGATGCCAGGAAAGGTTTGGTTTTGGTGTGTTTAGCTGCGCCCACGCTTAGTAGATAGAAAGAAGATTGATGACGATTCTGAAGATTTCCTGAAATGAATGAAGATTTTTTGTAGATTGATTTGCTAGAATTTTAGAGCGAGGAGTAGGCTGTGCGTGTGATCGAGCCTGACGTTTGTTTTTTTTATCCGTTGGGTTTTTTTTAATTGTCTATAATCCGGACTTGTTCATGTTGATCTTCGTCAAGCTACAATTTGGACTCCTACATCAACACATCTCTTCAGTTTCAATTGGCTATTCTTGGTGAGTTCGTTCCATTTTGTAAATTTTTATCTTTTCAAACCAGTAACATTGGGAGATCTCCTTTTTGTGGTGCGTTACTGGTATAAGATCTACCCAAAGTCGTGACAGCTTCGAACTAGGGAATCAGGATTTTCCAGTAATCAAAGGATTACATTTTAGTGCTTGTTACTTTTTATGACTTGATAATAGTGACAAGACTGGGGGCGACCCCGGCGTAGTGGTTAACATCCATACCTCTCACGCCAAAGTCACGAGTTCAAATCTCACCCCCGGACAAGTCACAAATGACCCAAGAGTGTTAAAGCGACTATAAAAAATAAAAAAAAAAAGTGACAAGACTCGGGTAGTGACCACCGCCGTTATGCATTTCTATATTGTATATTTCAAATCAAAAATATTGTTTATGTTCATAGAGTTTACATAATCCTTTTCCCTTTGTCCCCTTTTCCTTCTCCTTTTCCTTTCCCTCTTCTCTTTTCAGAAAGCGAGTAATGGCGCTATAGCCATAAGCCATAAAAGGCTAGGACAAGAGTTAGTGCTCATGTCCCAACCGTTAGAAGAAAATGGAGCATCACATAACCTTTCTAGCTTGATGCTTCCAACGACCAACCAACCGACCAACCTCGGTGCCCACTTTCGGAATTCCCACAGACAACGACGACCTACCGATCAACCAACCATTCTCCTGGGAAGAATTCTCGTTCGCTCTTAGCCGGAGCAACGGAAACTCGGCCGGACCGGATGAAATCGGATACCCACTGCTGAAGCATCTACCGCTCGAAGGGAAAACACAATTGCTCGAACTCTACAACCAGCTATGGACCAACGAAGAATACCCGGACGAATGGAGGGAAAGTCTCGTGATCCCGATCCCCAAAACAAATATAGGGACCAAGGACGTCACAGGATTTCGCCCCATCGCGCTGACCTGCTGCATGGCCAAAGTCTTGGAGCGGATGGTCAACAGAAGGCTCAAGCAATACCTGGAGTCTAAGGGACTGCTTGACCATCGACAGCATGCCTTCAGGCAAGGGTACGGTACCTCCACCTACTTCGCCACTCTTGGAGAAGTCCTGAAGGAGGCACAGGACCAAGGCCATCATACGGAGATCGTCTCGCTGAACATCTCCAAAGCATTCAACAGAACGTGGACACCAGCAGTAATGAAGAAGTTAGCCGAATGGGGACTAAAAGGACGCATCCTACACTTCGTCCGAAACTTTCTGACCGACCGATCTTTTCGGGTGTCGGTCGGAAACATCCAATCCAGAAGGTTCAGCGAAGAAACCGGAGTACCACAGGGTTCGGTCATCGCGGTCACCCTCTTCCTGGTGGCCATGAACGGGGTCTTCGACAAGCTACCCAGGAACATATATATTTTCGTCTACGCGGATGACGTCCTCATTGTAACGGTGGGCCCCACCCGGCAGAGGACGAAATTAAGGGCGCAAGCGGCAGTCTCCTCGGTGGTCAGATGGGCTGACTCCGTTGGGTTCCAGCTTTCCGCCGGCAAGAGCGTGCGCTGCCATATATGCACCACCCGGAATCGGAACAACGGACAGCCCATCATGATCAAACAGCAAGCGATACCGACCAAAAACACAATAAGGGTCCTGGGAGTGCTCCTCGATCGGAACCTATCCCTCGAGCCGCACTTCCAACAGGTGAAGAAGGACTGTCGTAGTCGATCCAACCTGATGAAGACCATCTCCCGCCCCCACCGATCCAACAACCGTGAAATCCGCTTCCGGGTAGCCCGAGCCATCATCGACAGTCGCCTATTGTACGGCGTAGAACTAACGTGCCTTGCCGCCGAGAAAGCCGTCCAAATCTTGGAACCGGTCTACAACGGATACGTAAGAACAGTCTCCGGTCTCCTACCCTCCACCCCGGCCGACGCCGCGTGCGTGGAAGCCGGTATTCTGCCTTTTCGGCTCGTCTACACCGCAGCTACCGCTACCAAAGCCGCTGCCTTCCTCGCTAAAACGTCGGGAAACAGCAGGATCTTTCTCCTCGACGAGGCGAACCGACTCCTCCGCACGGTCGCCGACGTAGATCTCCCTCCAGTGGCCAGGGTCCACTGGCACGGAGACAAAAGTTGGCAATCACATCAGATCAGAATCGACAGCCGAATCAAGGACCGCTTCAGGGCAGGAGACAACTCACTGGCTTTGCGCCGGACAGTCGTCGAAACTCTCGGGGCGCACTATCTAGATCACGAAATCAGGTACACTGATGGCTCGCTCTCCAGCAGCGGAGTGGGAATGGGGGTTTCAGGAGATAGTTTGGTCGTCAGCAATTCACTTCCGGCCCAGTGCTCGGTGTTTTCCGCTGAGGCAGCGGCCGTCTTTCACGCAACCACCCTTCCGGCCAATCGGCCGATCCTCATCGTTACCGACTCACAAAGCGCAATAATGGCCCTAACCGATGAAGCACCAAAGCATCCGTGGATACAAGGGACGGTAACGCAGGCGCCGCCCAACACCGTATACATGTGGGTACCCGGGCACTGTGGCATCCAGGGGAACGTGATCGCCGACCACCTCGCCGGCTCAGGCCCCATCGGACCCAGGTTCTCTGACAATGTTCCGTTCCAGGACATCAAAAAATGGATCAAGCGGACGGTTCGGAGAGCGTGGAACAACGAGTGGAGGAACAATCGAACTCACCAACTACGAAAAATCAAGGCGACCACCGATCCCTGGAAGGATCGACCGAGCCTCAAGGAGCAGCAAGTGGTGTCCAGGCTGCGCACCGGGCATAGCAGGGCCTCCCATAATTTCGGAGGAACACCGTTCCGGAGAACCTGCGAAACCTGCGGAGTGCCAGCCTCCGTAGAACACATCCTCATCAACTGTGTGGAGCTCGAGGACCTTCGGGTTGCCTTCGGTCTGGAGGGAACCAGCATACAAAGTCTGCTTGGCGACGAGTCCCCGGCAGCAGACGCCCTCATCGCCTTCCTGAAGGAGGCGAATCTTTTTTACAACATTTGAGTGTTTTCTGTTTGTGCTTTTGAATTCGTTGGCCCTTTTGGTAGTGTTTTACAATATTTTATATAATTAAACTAAATGCCCACTTGCCAAGATTGGGATCCTCCTTTTGAGGTCCCAATTCTTTTTTGTAATTTTTAAAAGAGATGAACTAGCCTTAGGCTAAAAATCTCTCTAATAAAGAAAAAAAAAAAAAAAAAGACCAACCAATCATATAATTACCAAAATCAGAACGTACGGTACGAGATGTCCACGTTTCATCCATTTATTGGATTCTGAAGCATCGTGTTTAAATCTTCGAATTAAACAGGCCCGATGTTTTCTGAATCATCTTGCCCCTTAAATGCTGCATAGTATGCCTGGCCGTTTTGATATGTGTAACGCATCTTCGATGTGAAACATATATCAAATAGACAAGAAAAATGAAGGAGGTATATCCATGATTTTCCAGGATGCTTTCAAGAACTGGCTGTGTTGGTGTTAGATTAGATTAGACAAATTCCTTTCAATGTGTGCCGTGTATCCAAGGCAAGCACCAACGACAGCCATTTATGGCGAAGGGTCACAGGACTGAACGTTTGCTTGAGCTGATCCATTCTGATCTCTGTGGGCCGATGGAGACAACGTCGATAGGAGGACGTCGATAT